TTTGGAGAAAATTCTTGGGGCAGTTGACAAGCTGAAAGATAATACTTTGTATTGGAAACGTTGTTTTCCCAGGGTGAACCTTAGGAATCTTCTGTGTGATGGATGGATGGTAAAGTGAAAATATGCATCTTGCAGGTCGAGGGCTAAGAGCCAGTCCCCCTTCTCTAATGCTGGAATTATAGTTGTTAAGTGTCAGCACTTTGAAACATTGTGTTTTTATGAACTTGTTGATTTTTCTTAGATCCAGAATGGATCTCCACCCGCCCATCTTTTTCTGGGTTAGAAAATAGTGAGAGTAAAAACCTTTCCCCCTGTGCTGCATTGGTAATGGTTCCACTGTATCTAGGTGTATGAGGTGGTTTATTTCCTGTTGTGGCAGGTACTCATGAGAGTGGTCACTGAAGAGGGACAGGGAAGGGGGGTGGGTAGGTGGGATGGAGATAAAGGGGATGGAATAATCCTGTTGGATAATTTCTAAAAACCCATTTATTTGTAGTGATGGTGTTCCAGACTTGGTACTTGGTGACTGGTGATCTCCGAACGTTCGGGAGATGGTTTCCAGCGTTAGAGCGTGTGGTTGTCTCATGTCCTCGACCACACCTTCAAAATTGCTGTCTCGAGATAGATTGCTGGGATGTTGAAGGTTCGTTTTGGTTTTGTTGACACCTGGTTTGTCTTTGTTTGCAGCGTTGGTCATATTGCCTGTGCGGTTGCGTGTACGGCGGCAAGCAGAATCTCTGGGTAGAATACCAGCCATTTCTTTTTATTTGCAGGTGTATAAATGCCCAGGGATTTTAATGTTGCCCTTCAGTCCTTAAGAGTATGGAGTGACTTGTCTGTTTTGGCAGTGAATAACTTTGGGCCTTAAAAGGGCAGGTCCTCGTCTGTTGACTGGATCTCCCTGGGAAACCCCGAGAGATGAAGCCATGATGCATGGCGCATTACCACAGATATTGTGATGGAGCATACGGCCATGTCTGTGGAATCAAGAGAGGCCTGCAGCGCTGTCCTGGCGATGAGATGGCCTTTGGCGATATTAGCTTTAAACTGTTCTTTTTTCTCTTCAATAAATTCTGAAACTTTCAAAAAAATTCTGTGTATATTTGGACAGTAGGGCCTCGTAATTAGCTATGCGAAACTGCAGTGTTGCAAATGAATACACCTTGTGGCTGAAGAGATCTAACTTATTCCAGTCTGTCATATGGGTTGTTTTCGCCATTTACTGCTTCCACTACTAGTGAGTTTGGTGTGGGGTGTTTAAATAAGAATTCAACTTCTTTAGATGGCACATAGTATTTCTTGACTGATCTTATGCATGAAGGGGGTGCTGTCACTGGTGTCTGCCAGATGGTTTTGGCAGGCTCCATAATAGCATCGTTGATCAGAAATGCTATCTTTGCCGAGGTAGATGTTTGAAGTATGTCTAGTAGTTTATGCTGTGATTCAGGTACCTCTTCTAGTGATATGCCCAAGGTCTCTGCCATCTTTTGAAGAGTTCCTGGAATTGCTTGAAGTCATCCCCTCTGGTGGGGACATTATACTTCCATCTGGTGACGAAGAGGACAGGTTCACTCTTGGTAATGCTTCCTGGTCTGAGGTTTCCTCAGTCACCCCTTCTTGTGTTTTTGATGCTGCTGGGATAGGTGACCATGGTGTTCTTGATCTTGGTGGGCTAGGGGGCCTATGATGTTGAGCCCTGTATACTGCCCACTGATCCCAACTGGGCCAGTTTGGTGGGAATGGCATGGGGTGTGTTTGTGCCCACAGGTGCCCATACCAGCGACGTGCCTCTGAGGATGAGTGGTACTCTGGTCGGTGGGTTGGTCCAGGTTCGGGTGAGGAGTAATGAGTTGTATGCATCACCCCTTCATCCTCATCATCATCGTCACTAGAGTGAGGGGGAGCTGACCTAGGTGGAGTGGTCAGCCAGCTTGGTACCAATCGAGATGGATACCATCGGTACCGAGTAGCGGAGATTCCAGTGTTGAGAAGACCAGAAGGTCTGTATGTTTCAGGAATTGGTGTGGTACCGTGAGCGTCAATACCAATGTTGGCATTGCTGGTGGTATGGGAGTGTGAGTAGTAGCTGCCAGTGCCAAGGATCTTGTGCTCTGCTATGTAAGTACCGCAGGTGGTGTGGAGCGCCTTTTCAGCTCTGTGGGTACCAAGGTGAAGGGTTTCACTTTGCCCTGTGAGCCTCTGTTTGAGCTTGCCCGCTTAGGGTCTTTGGCTCTCTGAAAACTTGTGGTACCGGAAGGTCCTGGCTCAGTGCCATCGGTACCGAGGTAGACTTGGAGGTAGGGGATCGCTTTTTCGTAGCCAATTCCAGTTGTGATGAAGTCTGAGCCTGCTTTTTAGTAACTTCTTGGTAAAGTCTCTTTCGTAGGAGCTGATGATGGTGACTGTTGGTCCGGAGGGGTCCTCGACTCAGAGTTTGAGGCTGATATCAGAGATTTCTCCATCATAAGGAGCTTAAGTTGAAGATCCATAACTTTTCTTGTTCTGGCCATGAGATTACAGCAACGTGGACACTTTTGAGGAATGTGCGTCTTGCCGAGACAGCAGACACACTGTGCATGTCTATCAGAGATAGGGATTGACAGTCTGCAAGTCAGGCAGCGTTTGAATCTCGGCGATCCGGGCATGTGGAGAGGTTCTGTCCCAAATAAGAAGGGAGCAGTAACTCTACGGAAGCCTAAACTTAATCTTCCTACTGAGGGGAATAAGGGAGACTTTTTTTTTTTTTTTTTAAATAAAATAAGCATAAAGAGTAACAATGATAAACTAATTACTAAGTATACTATAAACTATCTTATCTAAAGGTAAGTGAGGGCACTGCTAATCGCTCTGACTCAAGGCAAAAGGCAGTAGAGAAGGAACTGAGGGACAGTTGGTTGCACAGTACTATGTAACTGCCTGGAGCAGCGTGAGACGGCGATGGCGCGTGCACAACCAAACTAGGCACTGCTACCACAAATCTCCCATTACAAGCACAGGGTGCATGAACACCTAAAGTGGAGCACCCACGGGGACATTCCTCGAAGAACCACCATACATTTGGCATCCATATGTTGTTTCCTCACTCCTAATTTATTCCTAAAATATACCAGCACCGTAGTTGCTAATCTGCTGTCAAATGAGCTAAAAAGTATCAGTAACTTTTGTCTATACTAGAAAAATTATTACCCATTGCTGACAACAGGTGTCAGCAACACATTAGCCTTTTTCTCCACAGCATCACATTGGGAACTCATGTTGAGCAATGGACAAGCAAACTCAGTCTGAGCTTCTAGTGCAACAAAGTGGCAAAAAAGGACTAACATGATCCTTGGATGTATACACCTATAGGGATGGGCAGCAAGTAGGAGTAGGGTGGTGTTTTTACCTCTATACATAGCATTGATGAGACTACTAGAATACTGCATACAGTTCTGAAGTCCACATTTTAAAAAAAAGTTGAAAGATTGGAGGTGGTAAAGAAAAGAGCCACAAAAAATTATTCAAAAGCTGGGGGAGGGAATGCCTTACAGTGAGACATTTAGATCTCAATCTGTTTACCTTATCAAAAGGAAGATGGACAGATGACTTGATTACAATGTATATGTACTCACCGGGAAAAACTGAGCACTAAAGGGCTCTTTAATCCAGCGGAGAAAGACAAAACAAAAGCCACCCCTGGTAGCTGAACCCAGACAAATTCAAATTAGTAATTAGGCAAAAGTTTTCAACAGCGAGGGTGATTAAACATTGGAACAAACTACCAAGGGAACTGGCGTACTCTCCATCTCTTGAAGCCTTCAGATCAAGACAAGATATCTTTCTGGAAGATAAGCTTTAGCCAAACACAAGTTATTGGGCTCAATACAGGGGTAGCTCAAATTTAATGGCCTGGGATATACAGTAGGTCAGAGGAGATAATCTAATTATCCCGTCTGGCCTTAAACTCTATGAATGGGTACAGCTGGACACAATTTAACTGCAAGCATAGACCAAGACAAACTATGTTCAGCACCATTTCTGCAACTGCATTTAAAGGTTTTAAGCTGTTTTCTGAATGGTTCTGGACTTGGTTCACCTTGTTCTATGATTACAGTTAAACTGTATTAAGTAGTAATAGAAAATGTTCATACTACAGACAAGGTTGAAGACTAGAGTACGGTTGTCGTCGTGGACTCTGATTTCCCAAACATGCATATGTCATAAAAGCTCACAAAAAGTCTGGATACTGTCTTTTCAAAAGTGGTAGTAATCTCTTCTCTGAACTCACACTTGTTATTGTCTTGCTTCCGCCTCCATCCTCATTCCTAAAATCCTCTGTCAGTTTTCCCTTCTGTCTTCTCTATTCCCTGCTCCCTTTTCCTATCTTAGTCATTTTGTCTTCTTCCTTTATCCCACACTATCTGACATCTCATCTGAAAATCACAAGAGGTTCAGTACTATGCACTGTACTCTCAACTGTCCTGATTATTTCAGATGTCTCAAAAATCATTTTTGGGTTGGGAAAAAAAAACAAAACTATTTACCAACACAGGTTAATAATATGCTGTCCCTTTGCCCCACAACAAGAAAGGCACTTTAAAAAACCAAGCCTAAAAGGCAGGACTTTATGTACTTTTAATTCAATATTGGGGATGACCCACTGGCAATAGATTCAAAACTAGTTTAGCAATAATACTGGCGACCACTAGAAAAATCAAAGAGCCTGATTTTAAGTCCTCAATTATTCAGTAGCTTTTATCACAAACATTTAGCACTTTACCAATTCAAATGTAATGAAGTCTATGGGGGTTCTGGCATAAGTGAATTTTAAAATGCTGTCATTCCTTACTTATGAACTGAATGCACTAAGGTAATACATTTTATTGTACTTTTTAAGCCAGTGGGATGTTTTAAAGTAAATGAAAGATAAAGCTTTTAAAGTAACTAAAGATCCAGAAATTAAACTTGGAAAACAAATACACTGTTGTAAATCTCAATGCTTGCAAATTATTTTTAAATACCATTCTTAGATCTATCTTCTTGTTTTTCCTTAAAGTGACGTAAGAGGCTATTGTTGACGATTCTGGAGTTGGTGATTTGGTTCTGGGAGGGACAACTCCAACAGGAAAATGTGAACCTATAAAGTAATAAAACAGCGTCTTAAGTGTTCTGCAAAATGGCACATACAATACTGTATTGTTTTCCACCGAAAACATATTAGGATGTGAAGTCACTAATTGATAGGCTACCACTCTTGTATTTACCATAAAAGTCATGATGCCTAACTAGTATATCTGCATTTTTTTTCTATGTAAATAAACCCAGTCAAACTGAAATCTAGTCAGTATTTAACCAGTATGTTAAATGTGACCAGCAAAGGATTTTTTTAAAAATTAGGCTTGCTCCTGTTTTGCTTCTTCATGATACATAAAGAAAACCCAAAAGATTTGCTTGGGCTTTCACAATTTTTTGTCCCTTTGCAAGTTTTTTTCCCTTGAAAATATCTGGAATGTCAGCTGTGGTCTTTGGTTTTGCTAGAAGAACTCTTGTAGATCTCAGCAGATTGCTACTGTCATAATTGGAGAGGTGGGTGGATGCATCTTTAACTAAAGCTTCCTTTATCCAAAATGTTAATTAGTCATGGAAGTTTTTTCTTTTTTAAAACAAAACAGACTAGATAGGACCTGAACTCGTACTGCACAAGGAATGCTGAGCATCTGACCAACACAAATGCATTTCAAGAAACCCTTCAGGCCTTCTTTAGTCATCAAAACAGTAAAAGAAAGGGCACAAGCCTATTTTTCTTCTCCTTTGCAGGTCACTGGTCTCCAATTTCTAGAGTTTTACAATCACAAATTCCTATTTTTAAAATGTTATTTCTTTCTTGGAGCGCGAAGGACAAATGAAAGGAAAATAATTGACAGAGGGAAACATTAAAAATAACTAGTGCTGTAAAGTGCACAAAACAAACAAATAAAAAAAGAAATAAAATGTTCCCTTCCAATCTCTTATTTTATTGCAGTAGCAACCACTACATGTGGCTATAGTCATCTTATGGCTGGTCTACATGGTAAGGCTATACACACTACTGTGATGTGATTTCTAAAACACACTAAGGTGTTGCACATTAGTTAGTTCGTCAGACCCTGCTGGTGTGCACTAAAGGTTCCCAGTGTGCTTTAACATAGTGCTGGGTTAAAGCGCACTGTAAACCTTTCGATCCCACAAGCAGGGTCTATATGGACCAATTAATGTATAACACCTTAGTGCACTATAGAAATCACACTTAGTGTGCGTTACACCATCATGTAGACAAGCCCTTAGATTTGGTTTGTTAAAATTGTAAAAATACAATTTTAGATGTGTGATTTTTAAGTTGAGCTCTGCTGAAATTGTTTGGGATACGAAGGTATGGAAAGGTTAACTGAAACAATACAAATACAAGTATAAGCAATATGTTGTTTACTGCATGTAGACAATTAGGAAAAACTGACTGCTTATATTCTCCCTCATGCTGTTGGGATTTTTTGAGTAAAGAGAACTAGACTGAATTAAGTGCATTAGAAGACTAAGTGCTCATTGGGTGGAATAAACAGTAAGAGCTACAATAAAATTATCTCAATCTACTGGTAAGAGGAAGAATCTCCCACTCATTTGCCACACTGAGGCTGTAGCTATTTTTTTTAAGTGCCATCTATATCAGATAGGCAGCTTATTATCTGCTTTTCTTAAGTGAGGCCTGTTTTCTCAGACAGACAAAATTATTTCTCCATTTATGAGAGATAAAGTGAATGAGGTAATCCACAGGGATTAAATGCTTTTTCAACTCTTCAAAACTAAACAACATGAAACTATAAGTTAACTAATGAAATCCCTTTAAACCACATTCAGCCAAGTCCCATAACACCAACAGCTCATGTGCATGCTGAGTCATCACATCAGAACAGAAGCCAAGTGACCTGACTGGCACTGAACATTGCAGGTACTACGGGGGCAGGAAGAGGCTGATTTTAAGACATCATTCTTGAATGTTCTTTCAATTTGGCTAATGGGGGTGCAGCACATATTGTTAAAGTGAGGGGATTTTGACAACTGCCTTTTCCAAACACAACTTTTAAAAAGCTATTTTACATGTTTTAACAAGGGGTATTAGATTCCTTAAGTGAGTGTTCACGGTGAAGGAATCTACCAAGTAATTAATAGCTTTTATGGGGACTATATGAAGAAGAGAAACTGAGGCATTCAGCAACAGCACAGACCTTTATTATGAGTATATTCCAAGGGCAATAACATTAATTCTATTGTATCACAAGACAGAGGGCAATTCAACAATTACAAGATTAAAAAAAAAAAAAACCACATTATTTCCTTGTCTTGAGAGAGACTGAGAATTCTGTGATGCTGCCTTTTTGGAAACATACTGTTGCGAGTTGGACTAAAAAACCACATGAGGGCAAGGACAGAAAATGGGTAATTGTTCAAGGGAGTGATGTGTGTGGGACATGAATGATATGATTTGACACAGTGTCAATAAGGATTTCAGGGTTGTTGTTAAGTGTAATGTTTCATTTCTCTGTGGTTTGACTGAAATCCTCTTGTTGTACAACTAAAGCATTTTATTGCGGGAGCTGTTTCATTGGCATCAAGCAATGGACATACTATTTGTGAAATAAATATTATACACATACATACACAAATATATATATATACACACACACACAAATAAAATAACAGTTTCTACAAGGCACTTACAATATTCTGTATTCCTTGTGAAAGACTGAAAAACAGGCTGGAAATCAACATGCTTGGCACTAACCTTTAGTTGTAGAAGTTTCTGACTCTGAAACTGGTTCTGTCTTTTCTTCACCATTAGACTCATCAACTTCTGCCACTGTTGTTAACTCTGGCTCACTCTTATAAAGTCTATAATCTGGACCCTAGAAGATGAGAATAGTAAAAGGTAACGAACACTGATTTATCATTTAAATGTTAGTATCTTAAGAATCAAACAATGTAATCTTGCGGCTGATTTTGCTCTCATTTAAATATGTTATTTTTGTAAGCCAAGGCTCCATTGCTCAGGGGCTGGTGTAGTGATATTCATTTTGCAATTAACACGAAACAAACTGCCACCGACTTTCAAAAGTTATATAAACTGAGTCTGGCTGATGTGAAGAAGAAAGTTTACCATTATTATACAACGCTAACCCCAAGAAACAAAAAACTAACTATAAAAGGCTTCAACAGATACATGATTGCCAGGGCTGGGGTTTGTGTAGTGTAACAAGAGTTCAGAAAAACCTGATTTTGAAAAAGTGATCAAAATATATCGAATCACCGTGAGAGTCTTGCTTTGATGTTTGATTCTTAAAACACATTTATAACCATGGTATATCTGATGAAAAAATGTCAGATGCAAATGATGCAGCTAGAAATAAAACTAATTAGCCAAAAACAAATTACACAGCACAAAAGTAGCCAGATGGCAAAATAAAAGTGACTGTGCAGCGGATGGGAGGAAATGCTTGACGTACATTGTGGCAATTTTAGCCACTTACACAGTAAGATCCATTTCTCTGATATCCTTGAACTTGGTGTATCTTCTTTTCTTCCAGCAGATGTACTGGGCCCCTACTATAACAGAGCAAGGAGCTGCTATCACTGGGCAGAGAGGGGATTATGGGAGGATGCTCTGTAAAGTCATAGGACCGAGGGAGTGGAGGACGAGGTGGGACTACTTCCTCTTCCTAAAGATTGTAGAATAGTCACCTTATTTAGATATGCACACTTTTACAATTATTTATAACTTTTAAAAAGTATATTACTGTAGCTATACAAGCTGTGTGTTTTGGAATTAAAGGGACACTGTCATACTAAAAAGATATATTAACAAGCAACACTGTTTTACTAACACCATCTAGATTCAGAGATTGAAATACTTCTCTTTTAAATCTCATTTTTACCATTTACTTTCTGCATCTCACTCAGCTAGTTATGCTTTCATTTCTATCTGTTGTACTTTCTGCCTCTCATGCACGGACATGCTTCTGTTGTGACTAAGCATACTGATTTTGTTACCCCACCGTTTTAATTGAAATTCAATATTATTAAAAGATTTTGGTGCATATTAGATTTTCTATAACCTTTATAAACCAAGCTTAAATTTTGGGTGTAACACGTTGACAGTGTCCCTTTAAAGCTATGATTTCTAGACATTATGGGCCTGATTTCCAGATGGGTTGAACACTTGGAGCTGCCATCGATTTAATCTGTTGTTGGGGTGCTCGGCACATCTGCGAACCAGGCTTTATATATGAAGAGAGATGTAAAACAATATACTTGTTCTCTCCATGAAATGTGTGTGTGGGGGAAAAAATCAGGATTTACACTTTTGGGGTAGAGGCCTGGGAACAAAAAAGGGTGAGGAATGGGGACACAGAATCATGAATTGGTAAGAATATGAAGTCACAGAAGAAATGAAAAATTTAGAATTACTATATGGGACTTTAACCTTCAAAAGTAATCCAATAATTCAGTAACAGATCTGCCAATTTAAATATACTGAATACACATTTCTGATACCATTAGAAGAGTTCAGAAATAATTTTAGTCAGCCAATAATTTTTAATTCAGAAATTCATTGATGCTAAAATATAAAACTACTAAAATCATACCTCATTTTTACATTTAATAGCTGAAAAAGACTTTGATCCGATGGTACCTGTTTAAAAAAACATGAAAATCGGTTTACAATAAATAACTATTTATGAACTAGAACAAAAGCCTGCCTCCGTATTGACCGAAAGGCTTAAACACACTAATTTCAACTGGTAAATAATTTCAGTTACACTTGTTTCCAGCAACTATGATATCAAACAGTTTTCAGTCAAGCAAAAAAGCAATTAAAGTTTATTCCCTAGAAGTACAATGTGGTTTAATAAAAGCAGCCCATTTACCTGCCTCTGTAGAACTTCTTTGTTGTTTATGTTTACTCAAACCTTCCATGACATCTTGAATTCTCCAAAGTTCCTTCTGAATCTGAGCACGCTGTATACCTGCTGACTCAGTCTGCCGGTAAAGAGACATGGGACAGCACATATAATATGGTGGAAGAACAAACAATTTTACTGTCTGTAGACAGTACACAATTTTCTCTCCTTAGTGAAAGGAACCAGGATTTAGGAAGCAATCTGATAATTGACACTCCCCATCCACACTGATATAATGTTCACACTATCTGGAGGTTACTGTATCCTCTCCTTGGTGGTTAGTGAAGTAGCCACCATCACAACAATTGACTGTTCACACATTCCAGCTGCTTGATTCAGCGGCTTTGCAAATCTCATCTTCTAAAATGAAAATTAAGCAATTTGACAGTAGAGCATTTCACTAGTGACACAGGAGGACACAATGTCTCAATCTACAAAGGAGAATGGAAACAAGGGAATTCACCACTGTACACATTACCACAGCTCTGCTCTGTGGGATGATTCTTCATATGTTGAGCTGTTTGCATGTCTTGCATTGGCCAAAAGGGAATACCATCAGTACAGACTCGTAGGTGGATCCAATCAACATGAAAGCAGCATGACTGACAGTGTGGAATTGAGTTTGTCTCTGTCCTGAATGAACTACTCTACACTGGTAAATAAACTATGGGCCTATGTGTGCCCCCATAACCATTCAAAATTTGTGCCAATGGGTCTGCTGTGTACTTATTTCCCTGCTCCTGCCACTCATCTGCAATATCCCTTCCATGGTTGTGTGTGGAAAGCCAATCTGTAGCATGCATGGCTTGTGGTGCTCCTCTGCACAGGGTTCCCTACACTCCATTCCCCCCCCCCAATTTATTGCAGTGGTTCCCAAACTTGTTCCGCCGCTTCTGCAGGGAAAGCCCCCGGCGGGCCGGGCCGGTTTGTGTACCTGCCGCATCCGCAGGTTCGGCCAATTGCGGCTCCCAGTGGCTGTGGTTTGCTGCTCCAGGCCAAGCAGCGAACCGCGGCCACTGGGAGCAGCGATCGGCCGAACCTGCAG